AAACTCGCCGAATACTATATCACGGCACAGCTTTCGGAAGAATTTCCGGTATGAGTGTACTGCACGGGGCAAAAGAGAGTAGCTAATTATTTCCCTGCTAAATGTGCCCTTCTTCCACTTTGCTTTACCCGTCCTCTCGTCTCGCGCTCGTTTCTCGCCCAGGGTCGCATCAGCAGTTTGGTCAAATGATATGTTAGCGTCGAGTTTCTGCTCCCCCCCCCCTTCCTCCGGTCTGCTAATAATAATCGATACAGGACGTCTGGGGGACACCAGAAATGTTACTCATTGTAAGAAAAATCAGTATTTCTTCACGGTACGTCTGATAAAATACTGGGAGTGATTCGTGGGAGATGATTATGTATACAGTGAATCCGCGATGAGTGTTCGAAGGCTCCTCTAAAATGTACATGCAGTCTTTCGTCTGAATTAGCTACTAGCATTATCTTTTCGAGGCTTCAGACCCACGTGTCCTGTGACACAGGCAAGATCCCCTTATTAAGGGTCTAATAATTAGACTCCAATATCACCACCATCGTCTCTACCAAGGGTATATACAAGAACGTTTCAGTTTATTCCAAGCATGTCCTTGTAGCAATGATACAACGTTCGTCACAAAGTTACCCAATGTGTATATACATTTCTGGAGACCTGTTTCTGAAATCGCCTCGGAAACCCCCGTCGTTATACTTGTTCGGGCAACCACAACATTACCGTAACGGGGAATTTTAAGATGTAGCAATAGAAACTGGACGAAGTCAAGTGAATACTGCGAATGGTTACCGTGGTTCATCCTTGGAATTCCAAGGGTGTCGCGGTTCCGTGTTCCGATAAATCGCTCCTTTCCTCCTGAATTACCACGCTGCCGGTGCTGTCGTCTCATTTCCGGATTACTCACCGTCGACGGACTTAACAATCGCGCGAACTCGACGATCAGAAACTCTTCGTATTATTAAACGGTTTCCGCGCGTTCGCTGTGAGCCGTAAAGGTCGATATACTCCGGCCCCTTTCTACCTCGACTCGCCACACGATTCTACATCCGCCACCTCTGCAACTAGCAACACTGGCACATCGATCCCCCGATGCATGCTCGTTTTTTTATCCTCGCCTATCAACACGTGTACACGTGGAGCTTTCCGGGTGTCCCAATTTCTTTTTTTTTTTTTTTTTTTGCAAAAAAGGGAACACTCCTCGGTGATACGAGCGACAGCACCAGAGTTAAATTAGGATTCCCACGCGCCTGCAGAGTCGAGCCGTGGGCACATATCGAGGATAAAAAGAACTCCAGAAGTGCAACGGATGTCGCGCGACACTGTTCATTCGTAAATCAAATTTCAGTCGCAGAATCTAACCTAAAAATAAAAATGTTTACTTCCTCGAAAAATGTTGAGAATCTCGATGCCGTTATTTCAGGCACTTTGTATCCTTCTCGTTTTTAATGCTTTGTGTACGAAACGCGAACATTTTGCTCCGGCTGCCGTCTTCAACGAAACACAAACCTGACGGTTCCACTTTTCAGCGTGTGCAGTCAACCCACCCACGTGTTACGTGGGTTTAGAAATGCCTCGCACATGGCGTGGAATAGAGAATGCCTTCCTGTCTATATACGGTTACGCATGGGGCACATTGTTATTACCTAAAACGCGGGACCGTGCGTTCCAGTGACGCAAAGGTGAACATTATCCGTGTTATTCAAGTACTGTCTGGTGTGGGTTATGGACCTCGATGTAATGGGATGTGTTAATACGTTCATAAACGTGAATCCCGGTGCATGGATATGTTTTCGACGGAAAAGTTTTGAAAGACTTGAAAGTATTGCATATCTACATCTACACCTGAAACACTCCAAAACATTCACCTAGCAACAGTTTCGTGAAGAGCGGGACGCATATTGGATGCAGCCAGAATGAAATTGTGTCCCGTATATGTATATATAGATGGTTGTGTGTTCGTCCCTGGAAACCGTTGAATTTCTTCCCTCGCTGGAAGCCTCACAATTCGACTAAGTTGGTTCAAGGTCACTCCTCGTTGGGTACGCTCTGTCACATTTGCATCGAATTTATTTCGTTACGAACTCTCGTTCCGTTTCAACAAACAAATCAAACGATATTGAGTTTACCTTGTATTCGAAGCATTACCCAACTATACCCTGGACACATTATCCAACCGTTATTCTTCAAACTGCGCCCTCTACGCGTGCACTCTCTGTATAACGAATGTTATTCTCTTTTGTCTCTGCAATAATTTTGTCATAGCCCTGGTTCTGTGCTGGTTGTGTTACAGTGTAAAGTTATTTTAATTCGGTTAAAATTAATTAATATATTATCGAGTTTTAATGTTAATTGCAATTTTATTACGGAGACATTGTTGTTACATTCTGGCTTCTTTGCAATTTGAATGATGTCGCAACGTGGACGTGGCAACGATGCTCGGTATCAGAGATCTCGAGGACACCATCATTTCGCGTTGGATCCCTGTGTACCACACAAAAAGAATGGAAGGAAAAGGGAGGTTTCTTGTCCGTTGATCTCTTGCACGTCTCTTTTTCTATATGACACTTATATTGAGTTCCCCTTCATCCGTTCCGTATCGTCTGAAAACGAGGATTGCCTGCGCGTAAGATCGACGTGTTTGCTAAATGATACACTGAAACATTTAGTCTCTACCATTAATACGTTCACTGTAAAAAAATCTCTATTTTTTATGTTATTACTTTATCTGTCTATAAACAGTAGTAACAATTAAGACTGCGAATGTTTATGCAGATTCATATTTGTAGAAGTAAAGTTTCAAAAATAGGGTCAGTGTGACATTACTCGATTTGTATATTAAAGGTTTTTTTTACTGAATTCAAAGGAAATTCGGAAAAATGTTAATTGTGATACTAATATCTGTGTACAATATTCAGAATGTAGTTTCTTTTGTTCCTGACTGTACGTGTTGTACTTATACATCAAATGAGTCATGTTTCATTGAACTTTCATTTCACGCTAGAAAGATGCTTTTCATAAATTATTCATTGTAAAAGGACGAACATCTGGAATTTCAAAATTAAATTGTGTCTATAACTGTTTCACGTCTGGCCATAATCACAAAGTATGAAAGTTTAAATGTAGTTCCAAAGTAGCCAGGACCGTTGAATATGAGACCATAAAAAAGAATTACTTCGACTCACGTGTTAAAGGAAGAGAATGGTATTCGCAGCAGGAAATTCTCATTTGAAATTCATTCGGAATAGTTGGCATCGCAGTGTGTTTCTAGTAACACGATACATTGACCGGTTTAATTTTTTAGATGACCGTTGTATCACATTTCTTTTTCCGCCATCTGTGCATTAATGATAAAACACAACTACGAACGAATGGGAGTCCCGTGTTTGTCGAAATAAATTGAACGTGCAAAATAATACAGGTCAGGAATACGATCGATGTTACACTTCCTGCTCGATTACCCTTGCGCACGTGCAGCGGAACAATAGAAGACGAAGCAAATCAATTATTATATTCGTTTCCGGTTGTCTTGCTTCACGCCTGTTTGATAGTCGAATGCGTTCGGAAGTCTGTGCGTTGCTTGTAAACACAAAAATGGAGCCAATCGTATCGTTACTGTCTGCTTACTAAGATAAACGTTTGTTTGTTGACCGAAACAATGCAGCCTACTTTGTCCTCGTTTGTTTCTTTGTTGACCACACGCTTAACTGGCTTGTTAATTCATCACAATTAAGTAGTAAAGTGTGCACAGTTAATATGTACGTTGCAGTTGTCTATCAATATTTCAAGTTCATAAATTATTTTATTGAAGACAAAAATTGTTTCAATTAAGGGATTTATCAAGATAAAAGTGAAATGAGATTCTTAATAATTATGGTTACAATTTACGTTTTGTACGCTGCAATATATTATAAATGTTTAAAATCCACTGTTTCGTAATATCGTAAATATGACCCCTTCTGAATAGCTTGTCTTTATAATCGATTATATAATATTTCAGTAGCAAACTGTAAAAGTTGATGGGATTTTGATTCAGTATCTTATCGAATAGTCGTAAATCTTACAATTGTTTACGTACCTGTTCATAACGTACAAATTATGTTACAAATGACGCCATTACACATTTGTCAAATACCGTATCGATTTTACTCGTGTCTGGGAGTGAATCAGTCTCGAAATTGGAACTAGTGCACCACCAGATGGAGGTTACCGTTGAAATTGTACAAAATTGCTGATTCTCCAATGTTCTGCATTTCGTTTTGAGGTTCTCATTTTCTATACGTTCGTCGAATATAGTATTTAAACCTTGTATATAGATCACGAAGACCCTACATTCTTGTAAATTTCTTCGTCATACCTACGCTAACAGTTCCCGTCCGTTTATCGCGTCGTTTTTAATTAATCAGCAACGATGGAAGTTTCTAGAAAGCCATCGAATTTCATCGTGCCGTCATAAATAAAGTAGAACAAATTATGGGTCCTTTCAACCGAATTGGACATTTAGGTACACTTTTCGACAGTAAAATGTGGGGAATATCTTTAGATGATACAATGGCGTCGTTTGCTGATGTGGCAAGCGAGCCTGAAAACGTTTGGCGTTCAGACCGTTGGGACAGAGCGTACGTGAGGAAAATGGCGACGCACATGGCGAGTGGCGCGTCGTGGCGACATCTGTGGGCGACATCATCCTCGGATGTTTGCTTACGCTTTCGAATCGTACCGTATGGTGTCGCCACAATGCCGAAACGGAACCTGTCAGGGCCGTAATAATATTCGCCCTGAAAAAATAGAACACGAAATAAGGTCACAATTCCTTTATTTCTTCTTTCCCAGTTTTGTTTTACTAAATAAACATGAGCTATTAAGCAACTGGAATAAATATTATTCTAATAACATAAGCTCTGAAAATGTTCTTGTACATGAACTCCAGATGTGACAACGAATAATGAATTACTAATTACCGCATTTAACAGTTAAACATTTTATGCTAACTATTTGTTTTTTCATTACAGTGTGCAGACTTTGTGAAAGCAGGGGCAGAGCAGGGCTTAACGCCATCCGATGTTGTGCTCGCTGCTGATATTACATTCTCTTGCGTGGCTGATCCTCAAGCTGCCAAAGATGTAAGTAGTAGTAAAATATTAATTTTGAACTACTTTCCTTGTATGCAAACTGTGTCACCTAATTCTTGACACCGTCAGTAGACGAGATTCACTAGAAAAATGAATTATTAGACGTTTTGCATACAGCGAGCGCAAGTGTTTCAAAAATGCCTAACGATTCAAACTTCGACATAAAAATTATAAAACAATATGAATGTTTCTTATAGATGGTCTTCGGAAACTGTGGGGTTCTCACGGAAATATCTCCGGAGAAAGGATACGTGGAGATGACTGGTATAGACGCGGAGACGTCGCAAGATATCGCCGAAGCGATAACAGCAAAAGGTGGACGTTACTTGGAGGCCCAAGTACAGGGTAGCAAAACACAAGCGCAAGAGGGTACTCTGGTGATCCTCGCAGCCGGGGATCGAACGTTGTTCGACGATTGTCAGTCTTGCTTCGAAGCGATGGGCAAGAACAGTTTCTATCTTGGCGAGGTGGGCAACGCTTCCAAAATGAACCTCGTGCTACAATTGATGGCCGGTGTGACTCTGGCCGGTTTGGCTGAGAGCATGGCACTCGCAGATCGGGCCGGTCTTCAACAGAAAGACGTGCTGGAAGTTCTGGAGTTGACATCATTGGCTTGTCCTGCAATTCTTGATAAAGGGAAAGGTATCATATCATTTCATCTTCACAAACTTAACTGATCAACTCCATCTTCTGTCACATTCTCCAGCTTAGTACCCTTCTATAAATTTAATTATACCTGCATCTGACTCATCATCTATAATTTCGATTTTATAGGAGTTAATCAGATCGACCATTAAGAGTCTCGATTAAATATGTTGGTTGAACGATATACATAACCTCATCTAATTTTCAGCCATTATCGAAGGCGGCTTCCCGACGCAGTTACCACTGCAGCACATGCAAAAAGACTTAAGACTGTCTTTAGGTATGAGCGACCAATTGGAGCAACCGTTGCCGCTAGCCGCCGCAGCAAACGAAGTCTACAAGCACGCTAAACGCCTTGGTTACGGAGAACACGATGCCTCCGCTGTTTACATCAGAGCTAGGTTCTAACGGAGCATGCATCGTCGAGCTTTCGCTAATACCATATTTATTGCAATATCTAACGTTGTTTCCCGTCGCTACCAGAGAAGAGTAGTGCGCTATTTGCCGAAGAATAGCGGGATCACTATCGGACAGCTCAAAGAAACGGCACCGCCGCGACGTTTGTTTAATCGTCACGGGATTGTTGAATAAGAATGTTCTGTTATTGCTGAGAGGAACCAGAATCAAATTCAATGCATCCAAGCGCATAACGGAAAACTTCATGCACACAGATCGATGAATGTATAAATGTACTTGTACGTTTTTTTACACGCTTTTTTTTGGCAAGAAGACTTTTTTTGTGGATACAACAACATGGTTTTTTTCTTGTTTTTTCTCTCTCTCTCTTTTCGTTTTAAATATATGGCGACTACTTTTCTCGAGAACAGCGTGGGTTATGATAGCCGATCTCTCGAGTCGCATCCCGACTTCGATCCCGTAAAATGCGCGCACCCCTCACTTGAAAACGTGAGAGACTTGGGACGTGTCGAAAATGTGCCTTACGATACTCGTTCAAAGCAAGGCTTTCTTTCTTTCACTGTTCTTTTCTTCGGTTTCTTTTTTTTTTTGCTTCGAAAGGCCGCTGTGAATAATTTTATTATTTGTGAATAATATAATTAAATGAATTTGATGTATAGAATGATAATTAACGGGACGACGCATAGGAAACTATTGTTACGAAAAAAAGAATGGTAGAGATAAATTCTACGAGTTTATTGGTGCAATCATAAGATGTAATTCACCGAGACAAGGTTCTCAATTTTATAAGAAAAAATGTTGGCGGTATTTTAGAAACGTCCGTTCAATCGAGTAACCGACTATATTGCATGATAAGAGTTTTCCACTTTTTCCTATTCACGTAGCCATTGTTCCACTATCCAAGATATTAGCACTGCAATTTTGATTTAAATTTTTTTACTCATATCTTGCGTAATTACAGACAGTAAGCTTTAATCAATTTTAACCAGTATACTTTGCAATTTTTCATTATGTTACTCGTCCAAGGACACTTCTGATATATCGCCGTAAAGGTTACATTTTTTTGGCAATTGGAACCGTTTTTGCGTCAAGCGCGGCTTCGGCTCTTTGGTTTCATCGACGTGGCTCTGGACAAAACAAGCCGAGAAACAGCGCGGAATTATTCTACCTTGGTAGCATTGCAAAGCTGAGAGGATATAGAACAAGTATCGAGCGTTAATTAATATATATATATGTATGTTACTATATATAGAGGCTTTTGGACTCAATGAATGTCCCTTTAATTATTATTATTATTAGTAAGATATATTCCCTCACAAAGATTTGAATCAAATGATGGTATGGGGGTGGTGTCTAGTTACAAACCGACCAAAACTCTTAACATAATACTACATTTTTTTATTTCGTCTCGGGGATTAATGGGATACATATGATGATTTTACTTTCGAAATTTCATACGTGATTACAGATTTCACATTAATCGAACTTTTACGGGTTAACATGGAAGAAGTAAATGCTCGCGATACGAAAATCGATTTTTCTAACCAATTATCATAATTGGAGGTATCGCGCGTGTTCGATCGAACATGGACGGTATCGAGACGGTTCTCGGGAACGATATCCACGATAAAACGTTGCCTCTGTTCTCTCGCGGCGTGCAGAAAGTTACACGAGTATCGCACGAAAAATAAAAAAAAGAAGGGAATCTTCTTGACGAGGATGGATGATGAGGAGCTACCAGGCATTTCCGTTTTCCCAGAACGGCGGCGCACGGCAGCCTCACACGGGAGGGCGACACACGCGACGAAGTCGAGGGCGACCGATAGGTTGTGCGAGTTTGTGCGCAAACAGATTTAATCGCGAGCCGATCGCACGAGTTTGCCTTTCGTCGAGGACGAGAGAATCGATCACTCACCTCTTTAACATTATCACGCATGATCCACAATGGTTGGGGCAGAACTTTCTTATTCGACGACAGGGGTAAATATTTTTCTACCGTTCAGTGTCGATTTTGACGTTCACCGGAAGTGATAATAACGGTAAAGAATGATTTTAATGATAAATCGATCCACTGCAAAGAAAAAAAAAAAGGAATACGTTCAATCCAATTACTTTTTCTCGATGCATAAAGGGAAACTCGTGTGTCGTTCGTTTATTATGGACTCTCAGGTGCGTGGGAAATCACGTGCCGCATAGCTGTAAACAGTGGCTAGGCGCCCATATCACATAATGTATATGTAATTAGACTATCGATAGTTTTTAATGTTACAATGATACATTGTATCATCTACAAGATGAACCAGGAATGATGGAAATAGAAAATAGTAAATATTCTACAGCAAAACATAAAGAAAAAAAAAATATATATATATATATATATACATATAGCTAGTAAAAGTGTATAAATCACAGAGAGGGAGGAATTCTGTGTGAGTGCGATCGGGTGAGTGAGAATACGTCATGAGCATTGCGTCAGTAACTGACGTTATATGTTTTGTCACGAAATACACTGGTTTTTGAATAAATATCTATTTGAATTACGACCATTGATATTTAATACCTGGAAAGCGCGTCGCTTCCGTGTGTATATTATCTCGTATACACAAGTTTCCCCTGATCATTTTTTTTTCTCATATCATTTTTATTCATTGTATTTTTGAAACCACAGTAAGTCTTTAGGTTTCGATGTTTATTGTATATTACTCACTCGTGACCAATATATTGTTTTCTAGATAAGTGCTGTACAATGTTTTTAATCCACAAACAGTTAAATCAATGTTTGTGAAATTGAATGTTGTCTTTTACAGTTCGTGCAGTCATGGGTGCATCTTGTAACCCAAAAATGCACCAGTTGCTTCCTGGATTATAAGATTTCTATCGTTGTTTTATGAAAGTTAAAAAGTAATAGAAAATTGAAACACAGTAACATACGTTTTTTCGACATTTTGTTACTATAATTTTTAAGGAATTGATTGAATCCAGTTTTGTTGAGAAGGGATAGCAAGAATAGCAATGATATCTTTTTAATACACAATAAAAATTGACACTATACAATGAGTAAAGAAAATAATTGCTTAAGTAAAATATATACTAGAGCAATTGAGAATCACATCTTGACAGATCATTGCTGCACCCTCAAGAGGAATGCATCAGATGCAAAGTATCAAAGAAAATCGACTACCATTTTTTATAACAACGTAAATACACTTAAAGATTTTATATATTTACAAAATAAAGTTACATAAATTTTCAAACTTGTGTTACCCCGAAAACCATGCATGATAAAACGAAACCGAAAGGAAATTTAAATTCACATCACAGAAAGTACTAGAAGAGTCATCTGCAATACTCAATGTTCGACAAAAATAAGTTCCTTTCTTAATCGAAGAACGACAGCATAAGTTGCTCCAAATTTTAACGACGTACTCCAAAAGTCTGTGGAGCTGGACCTTTGCAAATACTTTTTTCATCCACCGTGTGACCCGTGTCAGAGTGAACGCGTTAAAATCGATATAAAAATAACGGTACAAATACTGCAACTCTCTGGAACTAAAGGTTGTCCAAGCCAACCTTTCTCCATTCTCAACGATGATACCAATTGTCGCCGATTCAGCCGAAAAAGCCACAAATCAATTTCAAAGTGAAAAACGATCTTGCTAGATATCGTTTATAGTCATGCAAAGCACGTGCCGCGTTCGCCCGGTTTATAGGCGCCGCGAGTAGACCGAATGATATTGCATGATTACAGAGGAAGCCCGTTGGTGTGCGCACGCGTCTCCTCCGGTTACGACTGGACGTGTGCGTGAAAGTACCGAATGGGTAGTGGGGATCGAGGGCGGGTGAGGGAGCAGGGGTGGGGGGTAGAGGGGTGGAGCAGCCGCCGTCTGATGACACCTGTAGCTCGACCCCCACGATCAGTTCAGCCGCGACCGTCCACGCGCCGTCTTGTTACGACGTTTTTGCACACGACCACCACCGCTTTACTGTATACGTGTACGCTCGCGCGCGTGTGCATCCACACGTACGTGGTTTCTGTGACACCTACCGTGATCCACGGATTACGCGTGTACAATTCACGTGTGTGTCCTCTGTGTGTTTGGGTATGTGTGGTGGTTGGTAATACGTGTGGATATGGAACAGCCCAGCAGCCGCACACGTGCGTACGGTTGGTTTTTTTTTTTTACCCATTTGACCGCGTGACAAGAACGTCGTGCGCATCTGCCATTACTGCGAGCGAACTGTCATCGTGCACTCTCGCGCGTTCGACGGACTAGACCGAAGAGGAACGCGAGGAACGATATCATCGTTTATTCCAGTACGTACAGAATGGATACCGTGTTCAGTCCCAGACACGATCGACATTTTACGAGTAATTCTTTCTCCCCATATCGACCAGCCTTCCGTTCACGTACGCCGTTGACAACTGCCGCCAGCTCCCTCTGTCCGTTTCAGCCGAAGCTTCGATGTTTGATTCTAAATGTGATAGATGCTCGATACGATTGACGCCTATGTAGATCCTAGGAACAAGGTCGTCGATGTGGAGCGTTACTTTCTAGACAATGAAGTCTACGGTCGGTTCGTTGGATCCGAGTTTATCCGGTTTAATTATTTTCGAACGAGCCTCTCGTGTTCCGTGAATTACGAGAGAGAGATATTTGTGTCGCGTTTACCATTTTTCTGCCGTGCGCGAAACTTCGTACGTATGGGTTTACCGCAATGTTTGACGAGGGAAGTTTACAATCGGGACAAGCGATGACTTCTATGCAATCTAGTGGCAAATGTGGGGCATAATGTATGTAAACAAAGCATGGAATATTCACTGTTGACGCTTTACTGTTGTTATGTAAAGTAATTTTAAAGAGTAAAGATATCGTGATATCTGCTCGAGTCCACTGGCGAACGAAGATGTTCTCAACTTTCTCGATAGCGAAGGTCATTGGATCCTGAACCATCATCCGGGAAATCGGGTCTCGAATCCCGATTGGTGGAATGCGTGTATTCCTTTTTTCCCCTACATTCTTCTTTTTCTGGTTACCTTTCACTTTATATAACAAGTAAACAATTCGAGTTAATTTATTATCCCTGTAATAAAATGGGATTGTATTTCTAAATGTATGGAATATATAGTACAATCTTTTTATGCAAATTCAAATTTTTATAGTCTAACGTACAATAATGAACACTAAGTAGAGACATAATTTTTCAATTAAAGATTGCGTTACTAAGATTACTTGCAGTCCAGCTACAAGCCCTAACTCAATTTCATTCAATACTCAAATCAAGAAGAAACTATAAAAAAGAGTACTTACGAATTGAAAAAAGGAAAGAATATATGTTCAGTCGAGATTCGAGCCCAGACCACTTGACAACAGTGCAGGACCTCAATTATCGGTGAAGTTAAAAACGTCTGTGCTTTATAGTGAATTCGAGCAAATAACTTATCACGCTTAATATTCATAAAAGTTTCGCAATAAAAAGAACCGCTCGCCCGATAAGTTTCTCGCGTGAAAAGAAATATTAACACTCGATGACGTCACGCATTGCGCGTAAAAGATCACCAGAAGTTTTCCCTAGCCGAGATCGAAGCGAACGTTCACAAATAACGGTCGTTTTCTTGGTAGTGTTTCTTGGCACGATCTTGCGAACGACCTTATTCCTAGGGAATGATCGGTGGTGTTGCGACTGTGCACAAGAAAACAGAACGTGGCCTGTATGCCCGGCAATGCGAAACGAAGGTGGCGGAGGGGCATGTGTGTCTCGCGCGTGTTCTAGCAGCGTATGTCTCACGGTGTACACGGAAGCAGGAGATTCCAGAAATTGTGCTGGTGTCCGCCGCGTGTATATTCCCGTCTAGATGACAACTAGGTGCATGGTAACTACGCAATCACAACTTTTCCGTGCTAACTTGTTACGTGTCGAAGAATTGTTGATCAGTCTCTGTAAGTGTCGAAAGTTTCCAGAAGTTAATTATTGCGCAAAGGGTACCTGTATTTTATGAATAAACGTTCGACAAACGATGATCTTATAGTGCAATCCCAGGCAGAAATTAATCGAAAAGGAAATCAGATTTGAAGTAACGAATCGTTTAAATTATCTCGAAAAATAGTTACAGCGAATACCACTCAAGTGTCACACGCTGTTCTTGATGCAATAATATAGGGAGGCAGTTTCGTGAAAAAATTTTGTATGTTGACATCCATATCTAACCGGTGAAAGCATTTCCTATCAGAAAAGTCGTTTCCTTATACGAATGTAATACTAACAATTACTTGAAATAACCAACCACTCGAATAACATAACATCTTACCGGAATAATCATATTAAAAATTATACTATTCCAATAATGCCCGACCTTGTTACGATGCAAATTAATCCGCTTATGGCAAATATAAATATTACCAATGTAT